CCCCAAAACCCCAAAACCCCAAAACCCCTAGCAGGCAAGGGCATATAGACTCAATTATATAATAAACGAAAAATGAGCGACTTGGAGTTTAGAAAATGATCTCATTGCTCTAGAGAAGCAATATTGTACCATGAGGAATTAGAACGTTTTTACTGCGGAAATTATCAAACAAATCACAAAAACATTAGGTTCAAGCAAGGCCTTGTGCAGCTGAATACTAAAAAAGATCTAGAGCTTACATTAAAGAGATTTGAGGGTTTAATCCTATTTTCAGAGGAGTACATGAAATCAATCGGCCAGAACTTCCCTAAGACTTATGCAGATGAGATCAGAAGCTTCGAGCAATGGCTTGCAGACAACAAGGAAAAGTTTAAAGACTTAAAAGCCGAGGACAATGCTGCCCAAATTCATGAAGCTGTAAAGGAAGTCGAAGATAAATAAAGATGAGTTTACAGCAACAAAATGATTTAGAGAATGAGGCAGTGAGTTCATCGAGAACTATTTTATGAAGAATAAAAAGGTAAAATCTGCATTCATTAAGCCTCATTTGCCATCTAGTTACAGTCAGTGCTTCTTATGCTTCTAAACATTTGATGAGTCCCACAGTCGATTCGTAAGATTTCTCCACGATGTGATAAGATAGAGTAAAGATTTCCTTTAAAAATCTAAGATCTTAATAGCCAGATAAATTTTTCTTTGCTAGTTCCTGTGTGCCTTCACTAAAGCTGAAGAGGAGTCATTAGTATCTATTTCAGTTCAGATTTTAGGAAGTCTGAACTTGCGAATCTAATTTTTTTTAAACCTTCATTTCCCATAAGTTGTTATTGAAAATCTCCATGGCTCTATTGCGATGTTAAAAGTTTGCAGTAGATTTTAGAGCTATAGATAGCTCAAGACTCTAATGAAAACTAAGCATCATCACTAAAGGCTGGGAGAGATATAATTTTGGATGGTTTGCAAACTTCAGCAAGGAAAATTCTATTCCCATCTTCCATTAAATCAGGTATCTTCTTACCCAGCAATGCAGGATCTTGAGAGTATCAATCACTAGGACCTTGTTAGCTGCAGAGCCTCGATTTTGTATCATTCCTGAGCCTAGTTTTGGAGATTCTAGCATCTTCATCAAAACAGACTTTTATTGAGTGGAACTCTGTTCATCTTGAAAAATACCATCCCAGTGGTGTCAGTCATGATTCCTACTATAGGAAACTGAAGAGAGTAAAGAGAATTTAGGAATCCAGGAGGTGTCAATCCATACATCAGATTATTTCAGATACACTTACAGTACCCAGAGTCACAGAGGCACTACTTCTCAGGAAGATTTTTCAGTAGTTGACGAAGAAAATAAGAAGAAAATAAGTGAGTGTCATGCTTATAAAAATGAAGAAGAGAAGAAAGGTAAACCGATCGCTCTTGGTTCTTCTATTTTTGTATCAGCTTACATTAGTCCCTTGACTCCATTTGAGCGGGACCTCTAGTCACCCATATCTGGTTAAAGATATTTTAGGTGTTTCATGCGTATTTCTAACCCTTTGAAGTTCACTTTTCAAGTTCCTTTCAAAAATCTTCTCTGAACAGAGACATATAACTTCGTTTAGAAAATGTGCTATCAATTCCAATTCTGGGAGGAAATAACTGTTCTTTTCCTGCTCGCTTGCTTTTGCTCCCAGGTTGGAGATCATAAAGTGCTATAAATTTCTCTTTAGGAGATTTAACAGAGAAAAATAGTGAGCATTGTAAGCCAAGCAAGAACCTACTAGACAGTGAGGTCAAGAGAAATGACTCTATTACTGAGAGCAACAAAGACATCAAAGATGAGATCAACCCTCCTGGCTCAAGATGGATGACTGATCTGAGTAATACAGAAAAGAAGCGGGCATGCTGGGATTTAAGCCCATTACGTGAGTCTTTTAAGAAATTCCCTGAGCTTGAAACTCAACTTCAAAACGATAAGATCTATTATGTTGACCTGATAGTTCCAGATATGAGGGATATATTAGACAAGACAACAGAGTTTAAATTTCCTCCAAGTATTGCTCACATTAAGATTGACAATATTCCTTGTGACTTTCCTCCTCTCAAAGGCCTCCTAAGAGACTGTATTAAGAAAGAGATTCCCCACCTCTCTTTGCATTGGCAAGATAATGTGCTAGCTGATGAGTATATGGAGTACATTGGAGAGGCTGTAAAAGCCATCACTGAAAGTATCAAGTTGAGCAACTTTAAACTTCAAGATCCCTCACTGTTGACTAAGTTGTTCAATAAAGAGTCGAAAGTAAGGTCAATAGAAGTGAAGAATTTCAGCATCTTGCAGAAACCAGATACAGTAAAAGAAGGAGCCTCTCTTTGGTACGATATAGGTGATGCTACGATCGAACTTCCTGAAGATGTGAATGGTAAGTGTCGGTCAATTCGATTACCTTTATTGTTAGAATAGCACTTTTGGCCATCACACGTACTCACTACTTGTGTTTAGAGACCCTTGATAAGGTGACAATCATCCCTAAAAGTGGGCAATTTGAACTGAACATTTGCAATGTCAATGAGGAAGGAGAAGTGGAAGGAAGATGTGAAAAGTTCCAACTATCTGGATCAAAAGAATAACTGTTTCATCTAAATTTGTTGATTCTCTATCCAAACTATCTTGCCCATATTATATACTTCTCAACGACAGACTTTAGCCCCGGGGTTTTGGGGTTTTGGGGTTTTGGGGTTTTGGGG